CCAAATTTATCATTTAATTCAATTATATATATATATATATATATATATATATATATATATATATATATATATATATATATATATATATATATTATTTTTTCCAATAAAAAAAAAGACAAATTAATGTATATATAAGACAATTAAAAAACACAAAAACGTAAAATTTGCAATTACACAGCTGAAAAGGTACGGACACATTTCCAATCGCTGCTCGCCATTGATCGGTCACTCTCAAAAGCAGCGAGCCCCACTCTTTTGACTCACCCTTGTTTATCTTTGTTTCTGTTCTCACTTTACGTTTTTTTCCGCCGGATTAATATATAAACGGTAACAAAAAAAAAACGAACGGTTACCTGATTGTTGATTAGCTGCATGAGATTGAGTACACTCGGTTTAATCAGGAATTTACAGTGTTTTTTGTGTCGAATGATCGATTGATGGAGATTAACACTGTACCGGGTCGACTCGTTGGGTCGGAGATTCATGGATTCCGCACCATGGAAGGTACTTTTTGGCTTGGGAGAATTTTTTTGTGAAATTTAGTATTTAAATATTGCGTGAAATTTTGGTAGTTCTTTGTTTAGTTGTTGTCGGTTGGTCAACAGGTGGAATTTTAGGGTTTGTTTTTGCTCTTTAGAACATGTTAATTTCCTTTTTAGGGGTTCATTATTGATGTTTGGTTTGATTGTCTGGATTAGGAATTAAGTTAATGGATAATTTGCAGTGGGAAATACTTTTTCCAATTTGTGATTTAACTGTTTGATTATTTAGGCATTTTTTTTTGTCAATATATACCGATTTTGCTTGCAGGTTTCTGTGTGTGACTTTGTATTGTTGTGCTTCTTAATAAGAAATCATCATTGCAAGCAGTGTGTGTATGTGTATGTGTATGTGTATGTGTTTGTGTTTCTTTCTAATGTTTGGCAAAAACGTAAAACGGACCTTGTTGCATGCACAGATTTGGAAGTTGGCGCTATGTTGGAGGAAGCTAAGTCAAGATGGCTCAGACCAAACGAGATTCACGCCGTACTCTGTAACCACAAGCATTTCACTGTCCATGTCAAACCTAAGAACCTGCCAAAAAGTAATGCATGTGTATGTTTACACAATTCTTCAACATTTGTAATTGGCTGAAAATCATATTTAAAAATGGGATTCTTCCATCTACACGTTTAAATGTGAGATGAAATGGCTTCTGGAAGAATATTGTGGTCTTACGAACTAATTTGGATTTTATAATGGTGAAACAGGTGGCACAATTGTGTTGTTTGACCGTAAGATGCTTCGGAATTTCCGGAAAGATGGCCATAACTGGAAGAAGAAAAAAGATGGAAAAACTGTTAAAGAAGCTCACGAACACCTAAAAGTACGTTCACAATTTGCATTGACATGTCATAGACAGCATAAATTGACTATCTTATTTGTGGTTTGTGCTGAAATTTGAGTTCAAGTCTTTATGCATGTATCTCCTTCGGAGCATTTCACATCATTGCCCTTTTATGTATTCCCTTTTTTATTGTCTGTGATGATTGATTCTTCTGCAACTAGAGGATTGGTGCGCGGCTTGATATTTAGAATTTGCCACTTATTTAGGTTGTGTAATGACGTGCAAGAATTCTATTGTTTGTAATATAGGTTGGCAACGAGGAAAGAATTCATGTATACTATGCACATGGGGAAGACAGCCCAACTTTTGTTCGGAGATGTTACTGGCTACTTGATAAGTACGTATTAAACCCTGTATCAGTCTAGATGTCCACCTAACCCTCTTGGTTCTTATTAGTTATTTCTTTGGGCATTGAAGTTGATGGTGCTTCTATGAATATGTCAAAGAGAAACATGCTCAAATATGAATTTCATTAATTCCTACATCTATTGCAGGTCCCTGGAACATATTGTCCTTGTGCACTATCGTGAAACTCAAGAGGTTTGTTTTTTTCCTCATTCCCCTCGTCTTATTTATATACTAACATCTTTATTCTTGCGAAATATGTACGGCAGTGCATTTTGAAGGTAACACATTTCTGCAGTTGACTTTTGTTGACTTTTTCTGCAGTTGCAGGGCTCCCCAGCCACACCGGTAAATTCTAACTCCAGTCCCGCTGTCTCTGACCCGTCTGCTTCTTGGCCTTTGTCAGAAGAATCTGATTCTGCAGGACACCAAGTAAATTATGGCAGCAGCATGTCACCTTTAGGTAATTAGAAGTTTTGCTGAGTTAATTTGGTTTTACAAGTTAGATAGGTTTAATTAGTCCAATTGAAGATTACATTAAATGAAAAAAAATTAGCCAAAGGATTTGATGTGAATTTCCTGGTGGCGTGGCTAATACTCAAGTCCTCTCTTCTCTATGATTTTCCAGAGCGTAATGACAGTATGACCATTAAAAATCACCAACAGACACTTCATGAAATAAATACCCTTGAATGGGATGAACTTGTGGTGCCAGATGATCTCGACAAGCTGAATTCACCAGAAGAAGGTAGAACCCTTGTGTTTATGTTCTCAAGAAATTGACCATTTTAAATCTTTCGATGCGTGCAATTTTTTGTTGCAGTACAATTTGCAGGATTTGAATTGGCAAATCAATATCAGACGAGCAATAACAGAACTAATGTAAGTTAACCTGGTTGTTAACTATCTCTTTGGAACTATGAATTTAAAAACTGCCTTGTATTCTTGTTTATCTTTTTTTCAGTTGCATGTCTCAAACGAAGGGTCCAGCCCTTTTATTTGTTTAGACTTGATAAGGATAGTACTCCGTTGTACTTGCAGATTCCATTTTTAAAGAAGAAAAAAGAAAATGATTCACAGGATTCATATTATTACATGTTTGGTCTAAGTATGTGCAGATGATGACATTCATTCAGTCAATATGAGAACTGAATATGTGAACTTTGTATGTATGGATAGGCATGAATGCATGATACATAATAGCTCCCTTTGCAAAATGACGTATAACAATGTGAATGCTTTTTTTGCTTTTGCACAAGCATGTCGTAATTATGTAGGGATTTTCATCCTTTTCTCCAGTTTTACCTGTCTTTTCTTGCTTGAATTGATCTTTAGGGGTTTTGGTTTAGTGGAGATGTCTCCGTCTCCACCCACACTTCACTAAACATAATTATTCAAATTTTCCCTATTAGATTGGTATTGCAGCTCAAAATGCAAATAAATTAAGACATAATGACATAGGTGTTGCTTAGCTACTCTCGTTTTTTTTGGAATGAACTGCTTGATCACTGCTTTTGTTGATTAAGAATTACTAATAACCTTTTTGATTACAGGATGATGCTGTATCAACTAGTAAGGTAACACCGCAAAGTTCCGGGAACAGTTTCTATGAACAAGTTGGTAAGAGTAATTCGATGAACCATAAAAATTCCAACAACTTATCATACCAGACCGTGGGACATGAGATGAATGTACATTCGGAAACTATGATTTCTGGACTTGGTACATTAAGTGGAGCTAGTTCTATATATAATTTGGCCAAAGATGGTTTGCAAGCACAGGATAGTTTTGGAAGGTGGGCAACATATGACATTGACAATTCTCTGGAATCATTGGTTGATCAAGAACTGGAATCATCAGTTTTAAATGGACATCAGTCTTTCTCATATCAGAAAATTGATAATCATCAACCATCTCCACCCGGGCAGATATTCAACATAACAGATATCTCTCCTGCATCGGCTCTTTCAACGGAAGAAACTAAGGTTCTTTTCTTCGTATACTTGCAATAATTCATATATGAAAATTCAAACTGGTTTACATGCTAGTCTTCGATAATGAAGTGGGACAGTTCTCCAATAATTTAGATGCAGGGCAGAAAGGAAAGTACCTGTTTTGGAGCGTGGCAATTACGGCACTAAATAAACATTGGGGAAAATGTTAAAAAATGAAAATATATTACATTAGTTATTTCCAGCATGGAAGTCTGCCAGTAATAGAAATGCCTTCTTCAGATCAGATTAATGAGCTTACTCTCCTTGTTACACTAAAAGGAAACAGAAAAAAGAGTCTTGTTTAGCACTTAGCATATTTTTGTTTTGACCTTTTGAACTTATATTTCTGCTAAAAAATTAAGAAATTATGCAATATCATTAATCCACTTGGATGTGAAATTGGGATGGGTGGGTTAATAGACAATTGTTTTAGATAACAACTTATTGACTTGTGATTGGTGTGCAGATCTTGGTAATTGGGTTTTTTAGTGAAGGACAGCTACCTCGGACAGACTCCAAATTGTACCTTGCGTGTGGAGATTCTATTTTTCCACTAGAAATTGTCCAAGGAGGAGTATTTCGCTGTCTAATTCCGCCTCAAACTCCTGGATCAGTGAATCTCTATATGACATTTGATGGGCATAAACCAATCAGCCAAGTCCTAACTTTTGAAGTCCGTGCTCCTGTGCAGCCCAATCGTATGGTTTCTTTTGAAAATAAGACTGATTGGAAAGAATTTCAACTTCAGCTGAGGCTTGCTCATTTATTGTTTTCATCAGCAAAGGGGCTGAGTATTTATAACACTAAAATATCCCAAACTGCTTTGAAGGAAGCCAAAGCTTTTGCTCAAAAAACTTCACATATCTCTAACGGTTGGGTGTTTTTGAGCAAAATGATCGAAGAACGGCAAATGTCTTTTCCCCAGGCAAAAGATCAATTGTTTGAACTAACATTACACAATAGGCTACTGGAATGGTTGCTAGAAAAAGTGGCAGCAGGGTCTAAAATTTCTGAGCGCGATGAACAAGGTCAAGGTGTAATTCATTTGTGTGCCATCCTAGGTTATACATGGGCAGTTTACCCGTTTTCATGGTCTGGCTTATCATTGGATTATCGAGACAAACATGGATGGACAGCTCTACATTGGGCTGCGTATTATGGAAGGTACAGAATGCTGCTTATATATATTGGGGTTTATGTCAACTTGATTTTTGGATTTGCTGATTTGCCGCGTCACATAATATAAGAACAATAACTAGAAGTATCAACACTTCTAGCATAAACAATTTTTTATCACTAACTTGAAAGAGTCAAATATTTATGCTGTTATAAAATTCTCAATATTTCAGGGAGAAAATGGTGGCGACACTTTTATCTGCCGGGGCAAAGCCAAACTTAGTCACAGATCCAACCTCACAGAACCCTGGTGGATGCAATGCTGCCGATCTTGCTTCTACAAACGGTTACGATGGGTTGGCAGCTTATCTTGCCGAGAAGGCTTTAGTCGAACAATTCAAAGAAATGACAGTGGCTGGAAATGTTAGTGGGTCCCTCCAAACTTCCTCGAACGAGCCCATAAATCCTGAAAATTTCACTGAGGAAGAGTTGTACCTTAAAGACACTCTTATAGCTTATAGAACAGCTGCTGATGCAGCTGCACGTATAAACGCTGCATTCAGGGAGCACTCATTCAAAATACGCAAACAAGCGGTTGAGTCATCTAATCCGGAGATTGAAGCACGTAATATTGTTGCAGCGATGAAGATCCAGCATGCTTTTCGCAAATACGAGACACATAAAAAGTTGGCTGCTGCTGCTAGAATCCAATATAGATTTCGTACATGGAAGATTCGCAAGGATTTCCTGAACATGCGTCGTCAGGCCATCAAAATTCAAGTAAGTGGATTATTATCTATTATTATTGTTCGAATAGAAGAGTAAAAATCCATGGTTAGAGAGACAGAGTACATTATCGATCAAATCCATTGGTATATGGATTCAACGCAATACCGATGAATATCAATTAAAATTTGATTTTGCTGCAGGCTCATTTTAGAGGTTTTCAAGTGAGGAGGCATTATCGGCAAATCGTTTGGTCAGTCGGGGTACTCGAGAAAGCAGTACTTCGGTGGCGTCTGAAGAGGAAAGGCTTCCGCGGGCTTCAGGTCCAACCCGAGACAGCTGTCGTTGATCCAAATCAAGATGGTGAAGTCGTGGAAGAAGCATTCTTCAGAGCTAGCAGAAAACAAGCTGAGGATCGTGTTGAGAGATCTGTTGTGAGGGTGCAGGCTATGTTTCGTTCAAAGCAGGCGCAGGAAGAGTATAGAAGGATGAAATTAGAACATAGTAAAGCAAAGGTTTGATATTTCTTTAATTTATCTTCTTTATTTCTGTTTCTTTTTTCGGTAATTTAAAAAAAGTCCGATAGGTGATTAGGTGTTGTTTCTTTGCAGCTGGAGTATGACGAACTTCTCCATCCCGACGATGAAATGGGATAAGAAATGCAAGATCGAGCGATAACGAAACCATTAGGATAGAAGCATATGAATTGTAAATCTTGGTATCTAAGGTGGTGTTTGCAAATTATTATTTAAAAGTAGAAGTTAGCGATTGTGAGTTAAGTCAGTTTTAAGTGCTTATTTTCTAAAAGTTGGGGATGTTTGTAATTATTCCGGAAAATGAACTTAAATAGAAAAAGTAGGGTTAGGTGTGCTTTTAAAAAAAATAGCTTAAAGCATATTATTTTAAGAGAAGCAAAAGCAAAAGTTAGTTTTGCAAACACCTGAAAACAGATTATGAGAAGAAAAAAAACTCATAATCACTTTCAAAAAGCTTTTGCAAACACGACCTAAATAGGTCGATTGATGATGCGTTTGTGCATGGCAAACATGTTAATCTGGTTTACACTAGAATAATCTTGTGCACTTGATTTTATTGAATATATTTGAAGTTTGTGGAACCAAACTCAACACAATTACAATAGAGCAGTTATCACACAGCGCAAATTACGAATAAGCCCATATGCCAGACTTAAAATACACATATATTCAAACTAAAAACAGTTTCGTAAATAAAAAATATGAACATTTTACAATCCATAACTAAATGTACTGAGACACCCATCTAAACCCATCTCCATATCCCATTTTTCTAACAATGCTGCACATGAAAACCTCAATCGGACGAACATTCGTATCCGCTAGGTTTACCTTACCTTTCCCCGTGGTGACACCTGTCAGCCCCATGTGATAACGGAGCTCGTCTTCTGAAGCCGCGTAATGCAGATCAATCTTGTTACCGAGTATTAGAAACGGGGCATTTCTTAACGACTCGTCCGATAAAAGTGCGTTCAGTTCTCTCTTCGACTCCGCAAAACGCTCTTTGTCGCTAGCATCGACTAGATACAGTACAGCATCAACCTAAAACCATACGAACAAAAAAAAAAAAAAAAGACGTATTTATAAATTCAATCTACTAGCAAAAACTAAATACAGTTGAACCTCTATAAATTAATATAGTCAGGAACTAGCAAAATTCTATTAATTTAGCAAATTATTAAATTATCGAGTTAATAATTTAACATATTTTCACCGGAGTCGGGACCGAGAGAAACTATTAGTTAAGCAACGTTATTAATTTATCGAAGTTCTGCTGTAACGTACTAAAATATATAAAATCTTGCGTATAATCGATCAAGAAAAACGAGAACCTTAGCATAATAGTCGCTCCAGACTCTTCGAGCAATACGATGGCCGCCTAAATCGAAAGCTTTGAAATTGATATTCCCAATACTTAGTTCCTCTGATGTTGGATGTTGTGTTGGTTGATGTTGCACAAGCTTCTGCATCCAGGTAAATAAAAATAAAATTCTAATTATCAAATTTTAATTCAAATTAATACAAAGTATTAAAAAGGAAATAAAATAATGTTGCTTAGAGTGTGACCTCATCTCTCAACATATGAAGCAATGTGGTTTTTCCAGCGTTATCAAGACCTAAGAACAAAATCTTTGCCTCCTTTCTGTATAGCCCCAACGACGATAATAATCCATAAAACCAATCGAAATTAAACATTTTAATTTTTTTTATTTATTTATTATTATTATTATTTTTTTTTTATAGAAGTCAACACCAAAAAAAATCAATTTGGTTATCTATGTATGGGTTTGTGTTGTACTAGGTTGTATTTATAGAGAAGAGCTGATTACTGGTTGTACCGGTGACCAATTGCAGCTGGGTGGTGACGTGGAGGGTGGGAGAACTGGAGATACACGGTTCTAACGGGTGTGGATGACGTGGAGGACTGTGATTGGACAAGGTGCATCAATTAGCGGTCATGGAGCAATTACAACACTGTCCCACTTGTGGTCAAACTAGAACAGGCGACGTAGTATATAGCAATTTAATTTTCTTGGATTTTGAAATAAATAAAAACAAGTATAATTAATTTCTTATAAATTAGTACAGTCGTCGTAACAAAATTATATTAATTTAGTTAAATATTAAATTATATAACTACCAATTATATATACATCAGGGTGGTTTTCGTAATTTTATCATACCTTAGAATAGACACGGCCATGGGCCGGTTCATACCTAAACTCGTTAATTCGTTGCACGGTGCCCCCTAAACTCAATTTTCCGGCAATTTTGACCGGAATGTTGTATCATGTGCGATGCACGTGTGATTTGCGGGGGTAAATTTGTCTATTCACTAAAATTCTATATATTAAATATAATTAATCATTAAAAAACAAAAAAAAAAAAATTGTGATCTTCTTCCCCAACAACCTCCCAGACCCAATGCCAAAAGAACAGAGAGCAACGAACGGAGCAATTAAACCTCATCTCCATCCATAAAAATATTTTCAATCAATTCTACATAGAATAAAAAAATTTACAGAAATTGATTCTCATTCCTAATTTACTCATTCCTTCTTCGATTCCGCCGAGTGTGTCTTCGAACATCTCGTCAATCAAAACAATCTAGACTCAAAACTTTACTCATTCCTTCTTCGATTCCGCCACCGCCGTTTTGACGGGCTCCTTCCCCGGCTTCACATCCCCATTAGCCTTGTCTGCCGGCGCGGAAATGGAGTCGTTTCGCAACGGGGTGGTGGGAGGTTGTGGGCTGGGGTTTGAGCGATAGGTCTCGTTGTCGGAGTTGGGTCCTGGGTTGCTTTGGTAGAATTGATTAGGGAAATTCCGACGGCGGAAGGAGTGGGAATTGGAGGCGGCGCAGGGGAGGAATTTGGGCTAAGCAAGATGGGAACAATAATAATTTTTTTTACAGAAGTTGAGAATTAGAGAGAGAGAAAGAGATTTGGCAGATTAAAAAAATGAAAAATGAAAAGGAGAGATAAAAAAGAAAAAGGAAAAATTAAACT